GGGGGGGGGACGGGAGGGGAGGAATTTTTTTGCAGATTGATGAAAAATGTACTTTTTTAACGATATGTTTTGTTTTTTGCAAGCCAGAAACAGTGCAGATTTTTAGGATAAAAAGATTCCACTTTTTAGGAATAAGCTCCACTCCACTTTAAGCAGCACAGGGTTTAATTCTACAAAATCAACTTCATCTTGTTCGCAGTGAAAAAGCTTCTTTATCGGACAGAGTCCGAACAAAGAAAAAATTCTTGTCGCTCATAAATGCATCTTTTGCAATAGTATTATTGCTTTCCAGGGAAATTATCGCCTCTGATTGAAAATTTTTTTTCACGACGACAACACAGATTTGGATCAAAGTATGAGATACGAGCTGCCACTGCTGGCCTACGCCGAGGTAGCAGTAGCACTGATGATCAGGTCAGTCCAGAAGTTAATGAAGCATTCCGTTTGTCGCTTTCATTGTTCTCTCTCATTACTACAAAAATTCCCTTCCCTCCTCCCCTGTCTCTTCCTCGCATCCTGGATTCACCTGGAGAGGTCGGGACCTTCGCTAAATCTTGTGTATTCTTGTGCTTTTCTAGCTGAAGTCTATACTTTTTTAATATACTTGTTCCATCTCCTGAGGGGATTAGTAGGCTGTCATGGCGTTGCCGTCTTTAAATACGTGATTAAATTTTAAATTAAAATTGGTAGAATGGAAGGGGAAAATGCTGTGAAATGAAAAAATAAAAGAGGAAATTGACAGAAGTTTTAGGCTTAGAAAAATTACTAAATTAGAAAAAAATGTTTGGATCCACTGAAAGTTTTCAAAAACTAACTTGGATTTTATGTTTAAAGCGAACATCATGAAGGTTGCTTTAAGTAATTGCTTTAAGATACGAAACGAGCGTAAGAAACACCAACAAGCTGATTACCAGCATCTTCCGCCTGAATTCTTGCGTCACTTCAATAAAATTTTGCATTTTTTGCTTGCATTTTCTTTTTTCTTCTCTTAGAATTACGTTTTGCTGTTATCTCACTGTCTGGCCTCTTTTATTTGCTATATAATAATAATTTATGTGATAATTGTAGTACTGACGAGGTTCAACTGTGCACTAACTTAAAGACAGTGCGGTTTTATTTATCGAAACGTTTTAACCTCGACTAAATTATTATTTTTTCACAGCATAATTTTACAGTATTTGGTATTTCCAGTATATTTTGCTATCAGTTAATTGTAAAATTAG